TGCCTGAATTATTGGGATAAGGCAGCCCTAAGTCCTTTAAGTTTTTTTTTTTTTTAATTGTAAACATAGTTGTCAGTGAAGGTGTTATAGTATACCATAAAGTTCTAGAGACCGTCTGTATTTTTATTTGGACTGTCTTTGCGGTAAACATAACCATGCTTTCCGCAGTGTTTATGTTTTATAAATAGAGAATATGATAGAGATAGGAAAAATAGATTATAGCTACTGCCAGCTAAGCGGCCATAATTCACTTGCTCTGATGTATACCCTTCTGAAGAGATATGGGTTACCTATGAATCTAACCCAGAGAAATTTTAGAACATCAATCAAAAGGGGAGCTCTTGAGGGAGATGGTGGTGGGGTCAGGTGCTGTAGCACTTGATGTTTTCCTTAGTACTACTTAGAATTTTAGGGGATAATTAAGTCCAAATCCTTTTTGAAGACAGCAAAATTCTCCATCATTTTTTAAAAACTGTGAGATAATTTTTAAAAGCCGAGGGATGGTTTTGGAACTGTATGGCCTGGATGCTCACATACATACACCTGCATGAGGCATTTAAAAAATAAGGGTAAGGAGGCAAATAGGAAATTTTTTTTTTCTAGTAGAGAATATTTCATTATTGGTACGGTGAAAGCTTAAAAATAAAGAATCCTGGACAACCTGTTGGGATGTTATGACACAAAATCCAGTTCAAACATTCTTTCTTTTTATAATTTTATTTTAGTGAGCATGAGTGGGGAGCAGGGGAGGACAGAGAGAGAGGGAGAGAGAGGTTCCTAAGTAGGCTCCATGCTCAGCCTGGAGCCCTCACGACCCTGAGATCATAACCTGAGCTGAAACCAAAAGTTGGAGGCTCAACCAACTGAGGTACCCAGGAACCCCTCTTTTTTTTTTGTTTTTAAAGATTTTTACTTTTCAAGTAATCTCTACACCCACCATGGGGTTTGAACTTATAACCCCGAGATCAAGAGCCGCATTCTCTACCAACTAAGCTACCTAGGTGCCCCCAGTTTGAATATTTTTTTTTTTAAAGATTTTATTCATTCATTCATGAGAGACAGAGAGAGAGAGAGGCAGAGGGAGAAGCAGGCTCCCAAGGATCAGGGAGCCCGATGTGGGACTCGATCCCAGGACCCCGGGACCATGACCCGAGCCGAAGGCAGACGCTCAACCATCTGAGCCACCCAGGTGCCCCCAGTTTGAATATTCTTAAGGAATGTGAGAATTTACTCCCAACAAGAGGTGTCTTAATACATGGTGCATATCAGTAAGTTGAGCTTAAGTTCACATAACTAATGTGCAGCTTTCCATGAAAAATGTTTCATACCTAGTATCCCACTGAGCTCAGAGCCCGACGGGGGGCTTGATCTCATGACCCTGAAATCATGACCCCAGTGGAAACCAAGAGTTGGTTGCTTAACCTACTGCACCACCCAGGCGGCCCTATCAGAATATACATTTTAATATATTGTTAAAGCACCAAAAGTTGTAATATTAAATAATCATAATTCATTCTGATTGTTCTTCCTTCAATAATCGACAAAGTTTTGGCAGAGGAAACAAATGATCTTATTTACGTAGGGTGATACTCTGAAATAATACTTGATAGGCTTTAAGAATCTGTTACAAAACCAGGAAATGTCTCTAATTTATGGCCATTTCTTCACAGTAGAATAGTGAGTGGCTAAAGAGGCCAACTCTGGTCTAGGGTGAGGGAAGACGGTGGTTGATAATGAGAGTGATATATTGAAAAGTATTGAGAGCTGTAGAAGATAAAAATGGCTGAGGAAAAAGGAATTATCACTGTTCATATTAGTTTATAGTGTTTGGGAGTTGAGATAGGGCCTTATAGCTAGTGTAGAAATGTTCATATTTATCACAGTGCTATGTAGTATTCTGCACTTGGGTTTGACGTTAACAAATATATTTGACTTTTCTCAAACTATGGAGCTTTTCTAAAAAAAGTTCTTAAAATGCACTGAGAGATTTAAACCATTAGAAGAGAAGTATTCAGCATATGGGACACTGTGTATATGTGTTCATTCCCTGCTTCTGGCACTCTTGTTTTTGGGCTATAGGATACATGGACTACTTTCATTGTTCACCTTCATTTCCATCTACCTCCCTTGGATCTACTTTGATGAGGTGAGCTTCCTCATCAATGAAGGAAATTTTTCAGTATTACTATTTAATTGGGTAAGCTCAGGTTGTTGACTTTTTGTTTCATGATTGACAAAAGGTCGGCTAAGCAATTAAAAAAATAAAGCTAGGTGATAGGATCGTTATAATGGTTAATATTAATTTACTGTCCCAAGAGCTTTGCATGCATCTCATTCACTCCTCACAGCAGGTCCTGGGAGGTAAACATTGATTTCTCTGTTTTACAGGTGAGGAAAATGGCATTTAGAGAAGTCAAGCAGCTTGCCCCAAATCACTGTCAGTCAGTGGCCAACTTGACTGGACACTTTGGCTGTATGGATTGTAGTCCTTATTCCTTTTTTTTTTTTTTTTTTTTTTATCATTTGACAGAGCACAAGCAGGGGGAGTGGCAGGCAGAGGGACAGGGAGAAGCAGGACTCCCCATGGAACAGGGAGCCCAATGTGGGACTCAATCCTGGGATCATCACCTGAGCCGAAGGCAGACGCTTCACCGCCTGAGCCACCCAGGCGCCCCTATAGTCCTTATTCTTTAACAATTTTTTTCCCCCGTGGGAAAATGCTAAGTTCTGGAGGCAAGTTTAATATAAAATAGAGTTGTGTGAGCAGTGTGTAAGTTAGGGAGTCCGTGGTTACAGATTTTACTTCTTTGCTAACAGTGTTGCACAATAGTCTTTTGTACTCCATCTCTACGATAGAGCCAAATAAGTATTTTTGAGTGAGTTGAAGAACGAGTTTTTAGGATTAAGTTGTAACTTTTGCCTCATATGACTTGAAATGCCTCTGCCAACAACTTTACATTCTGTACAGGGTATAACTAACATGTGCCCTGTGATAGACATTGAGCAAATGCTTTTGGGATGAATTCTAACAGAATGCTAAATTTATCTATAATTTAGAATGTTCGCCTAAGCTTTTTGCAAGGCTCACTGGCTCTTGCCACAAAGCCTGACTTTATGCCCTGCAGAAGTAGAGTGTGGGGAAGGGAAGGAAGATAATTAGCTTATGGGCCAGTAACTATTCAAGTCAAATGCTTTTCAAATTACCATAAATCAGATAAAGTTAATTTCCTATTTTTCAATTTGTGAGCAACATAATGTCATTGTTAGGTTCAGATAAACTGCTGGTCTAATTATCTTTCTTTCTTTTCTGATTATCTGTCTTGCCAAACTCGATAATCACAAAAGCCAATTTTACCTTGCCAGTTCCCAGCTTCTGGTTCTTATTTGCTAGTGCCTTTATGCTCTTACCAACACAGTCATAAATATAAAGCCAGTGTCCTTAATCCTGTCTCTGAATCTAGGCATAGTTACTAGTAACTTGTTGCTAAATCCTATAGTTCTTAACAATCTGAATTTTAACTGTTAGAAAATGGGAGTTCTTGTAGTAGCTTTTTGCACTCTTGTTTCTTTGCCCCATTCTTGATAGCAGAAATGAGGCATCCTTGTCTATAGTTCTATTCTGACAGTAAAAATCAGGTAGTAGAGAATTAATTTGGTTAATTATTTTGAACAGTTATAACTGCTTCTGCAGGGAGCCATTTTGGGTGGGCTTATAAGTCCCATGCTGGCTTCTTAGGATTTTAAATGATGGAAGATGATCTCAAAATTCTTATGCAATTGCTCATAGAATCCAGGCAGGTTATTTAAATGGCTGATAGGGGGCAGACATAAGGTGACAGGAGAGATGGGGGAGACCCTGGTGAACTGGAGAGTACAAGCATCAAAAGGAGCAACTGTGACTCCCGGTCCAGCTTGTTAGTGCCATTTGAGAATGTGAGCCTGCTGTATTAACACTGTGCGCATTTTTGAAAGGAGTTTGAAATCTGAATCTTAATGTGAAAGTTTCCATTTCTTAAGATGTTGGTAGGTAGCTAAGTGAATTTTTAAGATTATGGGCCATGGGGCACCCGGCTGGCTCAGTTGGTAGAGCATCTTACTCTTGATCTCAGGGTTGTGAGTTTAAGTCCCATGTTGGGTGTGTAGAGTCTACTTAAATAAATAAATAAAATTTAAAAATAGTTAAAATTATGGGCCAAATAACATATATCTGTGGATGAATACGATCTATGGGCCATCAGTTTGTGCTGTGCTCTGTGATACAGAGTATTGAGTCTCTGTGGGTATAATTTGGGGAAGACTAGGGTTTATCATCAGAGAGATTCATTATTTTTTTGCTGGAATTGGTCTAAGAGATTGTGATAGAATAGATTAGATTAATATTGTTTCTTAAATTCCCAGTTACTTAGGGAGAATGAAATGTAAGCTCTTCATCCCTGTGGGAAAGAAAAATTGGGTCCCTGGTAGTAAGAATTGAGCTCCTGATGTGAGCCTACTGAAAGTTCGAAGAGAATGGTGGGCCCAAGCTGCCAAGTTTGAGACCTGTGTACCCCTCCCTGTTTGGAAATGTCAAAATTGCTTATAAGTAGAAGCAATTGTAGTGATCCTACATCTCATAGATTCTCCAATAGTCTTAGCAGGATACATCCTTCATCCAACATAGTAAATAATTAAGAGGGAGAAGTTGCTATAAATCTAGTTGATAGACTGGAGAAAATAGTAATTATGCTTATAACTTAGCAGGTTCATAATGTGAATAAGGTTTGATTCCAAATGTAGGTAAAACTTGGTCATTCTTCATTCTTTAAAGATGGAAGAACTCAGAAAAGACATTTCTTTTTGGTTTGCTGCCTATGTAAAGATGCTCTTAACATTTATTTTACTACCATGAAAACTAAGACAAAGAGTTGGCAGGTATAAAGGTTGGCAGGTGATCTGTTAAGGGAGACAAGTAACTTAATTTTATTGGACATATTTTCATAGAAATGCTCAGCACTAATGAATACATCAAAAACCATACTTTATTTTATGTATAGCAATACAATTTACATATTAAATAACACTATAATAGAATGATTTGATATAGTTTTAAACAGAAGAAAAAAGGGAAAAATTTCAGGTTACAAAACCCTTCCCCCCCTGAACAAACTAAAAAAAAAAAAACAAACCAACCACTTTTTCCAAATGGGTCAATGCAACGAATGTATTCAGTGACTAATTATGTCTAATTCCTATTGCACAAATGGTCAATGGAATTAAGAAAGAAAACCCAATTTTCACAATCACTGCATCAAAGAAATAACACATGTTGGATCTTTCGGAATGCAAAGATGGTTTTTGCTACTTCAATACACAGAAAGTTGAATTCACATATCCACCACAAAAAACCAAAAATCAAAAAACCAACCAACCAAACAAAAAAAAACCCAAAACAAAACAAAAAGACTATGACGGAGTTGAAACTAGAAAAAAAATTAGCTTTATATGAAAATATAAAATTCTATGATTATATACCATAGATACAAAGTTCCCAGAAGATGCTTATCCAAGCAACAAAATATTTACAGTTTTAATGATTTTAGCTATTTCAAAATGAAGTGAAAGAAACATGAATTAACATGAAGGCTGAGGTTTTTTTTTCTTTTTTCTTTTTTAGAAACAATGGCTGCTTGCTAGTTTCAAATGTCCTAACAAAAAAGGAGTCACTACCCCAAATGTTGGAGAGTTGCAACATTTTATAAAATTGGCTGTCTCCTTTTCTGGAGATGTTTATTTCTTAAAACTCAAGATATTTTTCTTGAAAGTAATTATCCTCTGTAGAAAATGCTTCCCTTTGCAAATATTTAACAAAAATACTAAAAACAGTTTAACAGCTAAGACAAAGTAGAGGCCAAATACTATTACAATTCCTTCCTATTTGTAGCATGCCTTCTTTCTAGAGATAAGTGAAGCCAATATTGCATGTTAATTGCAACTAAGGGAAAGCGCAAAGGGGTAAGTGAAATTATAGCTGTTAAAAAAAAAAAAAAGCAGGCATTTTCCCTTCATATAAAAAATTCACTGGCACCATTTGAACATAAAATTTAGAACGTAAGAGTTGAAAATGCATTTTCCAGTATAACTGCTAAATTCTTAAGACAAACTACATTTTGATTATTACTTCTTAAATTGTGATAAGTTTGGGTTTATTTTTTGCTTAGAATTAGTAATATGTATCTTTGGTAAATTGGTATCTATATTTTAATTTTTAAATATATATGCATTTAAGAAAAAATTCGTAACAAGGCAGTTGTGCTGTGTCATTATAAAATAATTAAGGTTATTTGTTGATTTCGGTATGTCACTCTGGGCTAAAATTTCCAACAGCCAAACCTTGAACACCATAACCTTCTCTGACCATGCTGGACTCTTCAACTTGAAATAGACTCTAAAAGCTCCAAGGCATAAACATTTAGGAAAGCCAATTCAATTAATCTTATTCTTGAAATTCAGAAGTAACTTTTTTAAACACACACACACATATATAAAAGATGATGTGGCTTTTGGATGCAAGAGTTCTCCTCATGGCAATATGGGTCTTCTCTGATGCCCAGCATGGCCACTTGGTCTCATCACTGCAACTCAGTATTGTACAAAGAGTGCATTTTGTTCACCTAGAGCTAAATTCATACACCCAATAAGCTTATTTTATAAGATAGCACATGTTAGTCTGCAATAGCTATTTCCTTTCCCCCTGAGTGCAAGTGGTAATAACCTTGTTGTGTAGTTCAGCAGTGTGTTTATGTCTCAAAGAAAACACTATCTTTGAAACTCTCTGCCTCTGGAAAGATGCAAGAATACTAACATCGATAACAAATGAAGAATAATATTCAGGATACACTCTCTGGGGAAAGTGAGGAACTGCTGAATAGAACTGTCCTCACTGAAGTGTGTTTGGACCACTTTGGCAAGATGGGCAAATAGCAATTGCTCAGATTTCAGTGTGTCAGGATTTGTAGACTGGTTCAAGCCCACTATGGACACATACTTTCTCAGGGAACTTCAAACCATCCTTTTAAATGTTTCTGTTTACTAGCTATATTTCTTTTATTATGACTATGATACCTTTGTAAGAAATGGTCACAGAACTGTGTTGGAACTTAAGCCTTCCCAGGACTTGAGCCCGCTATAAGCACAGAAGGAAACACTTGCTGTTTTCTAACCAATGTTAACTTGTAAGAGAAAAAATTACCAAGGGACCATGAGCCCCAACTTGAACATGACTTCTGAAAGTCCAATATGTGCCAACTACTAAAAAGAGTTCACGCCTATCAATATATAAATGAAGTGTAATCTGCTTAATTGACTGAAATGATCTAGCTCTTGCCATGATCTGCAGTCTTGCCCTTCCTGATTCCTCTCAGCCTCTGGCAGTGGTGGTGGTCCTATGTTCAGCTTTCTTCCTCAGGTGTTCGGTAGAGCTTCCTGGTATTATCTGTGATGGGAGCAGCGGGGCTGCAAAGGTGTTGCTTTCCTCTAGCACATACCATTTAGCACACTACTCACTTGTACACCTTTTCTTAAGCCTCACCTACACGGTTCGTGAACAGTGGACTGTTTTCCATGTTACAGAATTTCTGTGATGAAAACATGAGATTAACCCTGGCAAGGTGCATAGTTCATGAAAACTCCATCAACCTGGCCTCTGCATTGGAACTCCCAAACTTGGGCCTGTAGCCTCTCCTTTGCAGCTTTGGTTCCATAGCACCACTCTGACAAACTTCATAGACAGCCAACTGAAGGTCAATAGAACCTCAGCACTGATTATCATTAATGTTATAGAGCCTACCCAGATAGTATGATAGTAGCCAGTATGGATTTTTTTGGTCGAAGTTTATTGACATAAAAATTAACCAAAACCCTTTTCTCTGTGACAGGCCCAGTTCTGGTGATGATTTCACTTCTAACAGAAGTTATTCCTCAAATGCAAATACGTAATAGAACAGATCTCAGTAGTAGCTTATTTTTCTAACTGAACTGAAATTTCTTATTAATGCTTCTAATTTCCCAATTATGTAGTTACTCCGGGTAAATACGGTTCCCGAGGCTAGATCAAATAACTTCCTTGGGTTCTGTGTAATGATTATCAGCCTCTTTGAGTGAAGTGTCTGTTCTGGGGGCTCCACAACACAAGAGCACACAAAGCCATCTCCTTTTAAAATCTACTTGAGAATGTTGATCTCCCCTTCTGTTTAAGATTCTGATTTCCTCTCTCTGAATCAGACTTATCCATGTGTGGGAATCTACACAAGACTTGGGAATCTCCCAAGACTTTAGCTAATACAGTATTTTCACTTTTATCCTAAGTAGAAGAACGTATATATTTATGGGGTTTATCAGGAAACATTTGGCAAAAAAGGAAAGAAAAGAATGTTAACTATATAGGTAGTTTTTATTAGATAGCTATATGAGTAATAGGGATATTTTAGAGGACTAATTTCAAAATTACACACCTGCAGAAATTTTCACTATTCTATTTGCCATGAGGTGTGATGTTAGAAACCAAAAAGCATGAATGGAGAGTTACTAACAGGATAGGTGAGATGTGTAAAATATTGCCATATCTCTATTGTAAAAGATAGCCCTCATTGTAGGGTGTAGCTATTTCAGAGGGTCAAGATGGAAATAACACACACCGTCCACATAGCTACTGTGAAAATTGTAATGCAGAGATATCCTTTATTTTGACACAGTTGGGCATTTTTTTAGGCTATGAATATAACTTTAACTAATAAGTGATGTTCACATAAAGCTCTTAAAGCCTTCTAATTTCTTAATGGATACCTTCACCATCATAAATGGAACTGTTTCAAGGCCATGAGGTTGATAGACTGTCTTAGTAGCTCCCAGGAACCTGCTACTCCTTAAAAGAAAACAATGCCCATTCACTCCATTAAAATACAGAAGGCAGACAGCATGGAGCAGTGCCTGAAAAAAATAGGAGAGGACTGAGGAAAAGCTCAGCATTGCCTGCTAGGAGGATGCAACTGCTCTAGCAATAATAATAATAATAATAATAATAATAATAATAATAATAAACCAAGATCCACTGTCATAACAAAGACCTTCACTGTACTGAACTAAAAAGTAGCATGTATGTTGTCATGGAATGTCACATCAGGGCTTGCTTTAGTATTAGATTATAGGCAGTAACACTGATCATATAGTGCAAACTAGGGAAAACTGCGTTTCACTGTGTGAAATGAACAGAGGTGCAAATGCTCAGTAGGATACCATTAAGACATAAAATGGCAAAAAATAAATATCAAAACTTTTATCAGTGTAAAAAAGTAACTGGGTTATTGTATAACCTAGAGTCTGGCAAAAAAGGCCTCAAAAAAGTTCTCAGTCTTCAGAAGTTTTACAAATTAAGTGCCCTTTCAGGATTCCAATCACACTAGAGATTCCATGCTCTCGGCAGGGTCTGATTCATCTGCAATGAGAACAGCACCATTTTTGTCCACTGTCATGGGACCATTTCCATTTTCTTTAGTGCTGACCAAGCTGAGCATTGCTTTATAGACAAACTGGTATTGTTCCTGAAAAACAAGAGGAAGTCCAATTGAGACAAAGAACAGCTGAGTCATTTCATCTAAGGTAGCAAGACCAATTAAAAATGTAATTGTAAAAAACGAGAATGTGCATTTATGCTAAGAAACTTCAAAAAGGTGACTTGGAGCCTTTATAATCCAGACTTATGCATTCTGCATGTCACCTGGATCGTTGTTAGTTTGGAACTAATTCTGTTGACAGTGAATTAAGATCATAGAATATCTGTATGTTGTAACTGGAGAATATCATACTCTAGAAAACCGAGTTTCTCCACGTCATCACTACTGCTGTTTTGAGGCAGATAATTCTTTGTTGTAGAGATCTGTCTGATGCATTGCAAGATGTTTAGCAGCATCTCTGGGTAGGTTCCAATGAGTACTTTCCTCCATCCCCCGTTGTGACAACCAAAAAGTTTCTAGATATTGCCGAACATACCCTGAGGGGCAAAACCATCCCCAGGTGACAACCAGTGTTCTAATTCAAGTGTGAGCCGGAGTTTCAGCTGATAACAGAACAGCTTTCACAAAGAAACAAAGTACTTACAATATCTGTGAATACTCCAGGCCTCATAAGATTAATCATTTTTGCAACCTGGAAAACATCCACAGCATTTTCATTCTCCAGTTGCTGGGACAGGGTGGTAAGGGCACACAACATTCCTGCTGAAACTGCTCCATACCTTGGAGAGGAGAAAAAAAAGATGCTATTTCAGATTTTCTAAGGAATTGAATTTTTGGAATGAAATGAATGTCATGTATTTGCATAGAAGCTAAGTAGACTGCACTGACCACTCTTCTTGAAGCGAATGAAATGCTCGCGGGGGGTAAATGCAGAGCCTATAGCATAAAGGTGACATTTGTTCATGAATGTGAAATCTCCCAAGCTGGCTTATCAGATGCTCAGCTTTATACCCCAGATGAAATGAGAGGCTCAACATTAGACTGGGGATGGCCATAGGAGACATAATGTTGGGGACGAGGTGGGGGACATAACAGGAAAAAGAATATGAGGAACCCAACTACAGGGTCCTGGACAAGTACAGGCGGTGAAAGGATCTGAACAAAAAAAAAAAAAAAATTTTTTTTTTTTAACCGTCCCAAACAGCTAAATTGAACTTCCAGAATGTGACTTGAAATGGAACTATATGGCTCAAAGCGCAGTCTGAAAATTTTCAAAATGAATTTCATATTAGTTAATTATTTTTGGCACTGAAGTGTAACTTAGTAAGAGTACCTTCGATAAAAGTCTTGGAAAAATATGGCACACTCCACACACACACACACACACACACACACACGCGCGCGCGCACGCACTTAGAAGGGTAGACTTCCTCATCAGGCTAGATTGGCAACCCCATTTTTTCCAGGAACCTGTGGTGGTGTATCAGTGATAAGAAAACAGGATTAAATGAATTGTTCAAGGTGGTGATGCTGGTAGAAATGAAACTAGAGCTTTATACCCTGTGCTCACTATCCTGTTAAAAACTATTAAATGTGCAGTTTGAGCTGATTATGGTTATATAAAATTAAACCATTACAGATGTTGTACATCTTTAATACAAAAAGACCAGAGTCCCCAACGTGAGAGGTAACCTATCTAGAGGTAAAACTTGTTATACATTTGGGTCTAGCCACCCAGAGTTCGGTGTATCAGTACATTTCAGCCCAGCGCATGACTTCATGTGCTGTATGCATAACTGCATGTACTCTGTTCCCTGTAGATGGGCATTTCCATTGTTCGTATCTTGTGCCCACTAACAGACGTACCATGAGTAGGAGAATTAGGTCACAGGTATGCCCATCTTTAGTTTTAAAGATAGTGCGGTATTTCTCTTCTAGTGGTTGTTACCTGTTTATACCTTTCCCAGCAGGAGAATACTTTTCCTCATCATTTTATTTTTTTAAAGATTTATTTATTTGAGAGAGAGACAGAAGGGTAGAGGGAGAAGCGGACTCCCCACCGAGCAGGGAGCCTGACGCGGGGCTCGATCCCAGGACCCCAAGATCATGACCTAAGCTGAAGGCAGACGCTTAATGGACTAAGCCACTCAGGCGCCCCTCTCCTCATCATTTTAAAGTTGACACTCTTTCTGCTAATTTGATGGGTGAAAAATTGTATCTAATGTCATTTTAATTTGCATTTTCTCTATTACCAGGGAGGTGGAGAATCTTCTGGGTTTATGGCCCATCTGTAGTTCCTCTTCTAAAGTTGTTTAATAATATACTTTGGCCATTTTTCTTAGCTTTGTCTCTTCTATTTGTAGGATAAGTTTGAAATATTTTTTCCAGTCTCTAGTTTCTCTTAACATTGTTTGTAGGCATTTTTGTTAAACTGAAGTATAGTTTACACATAATCAAATTGATCAGTCTTTTATTTTTGGCTTAATTGGAATCTTGAGAATGCTTTTTCTAACCCAGCATTTTAAAAACATTCTCCTACATTTTTCTATTTTTATTTTTTATTTCATTGTTTAATTCATCTGAGTCTTATTTTGATGTAATTAAAGGTCTGATTTTAGTTATTTTTCCCATGGATAACTACTTTTTTTAATTGGGTAGTCTCATCTTTTCTCATTGATTTGAGCTTCCTTTGTATCATATACTAAATCCTCATATATGCAGGCCTGTTTCTGAACTCTCTGGCCCTTCAATTTGTTTTTTGTATTTCCCCATATTTGCTTTAATTCCCATAAGGTTTGGATAAGTCTTGACATCTGAAAAAGCAAGTTTCTACAGTAGTCTTGGCTGTCTCTACATTCATTGTTTCATTTTTCTTTTGTGCTTCAAACATATTTTCATTTTCACTTGTATACTCATTTCCAGATACCTCTATCCCTCTATCCCTTTGCATCCTGTTTCATATTAATTTTGAAACTGGATTGTCAAGAAATACAAGTTTTGTTGCGATTTTGGTTAGCTTGGGCTGAGAATATACGGAAAGTAACATCTTTTTGAGTTTTTCTGTTCATGAACATGAGGTCTTTTCTCCCTTTGTTCGGGTCTTTTGTAGTTTTCAGTTATATTTTGTAGTTTTCTTCATTGTCTTTGCCACTTTCATTTTAGGGTAATTTCTAGGTGTTTGAGTTTGTTACTCCTAAGAATGGCCTCTCTTTATGACATTTTGCTTGGTTTTAGTTGATATATAGGAAAGTTATTGATTTTCACATGGTGAACTTGTATCCAGCCACGCAGTTAAGTTCCTAGTAACTGGTGGATTCTCTAGGAAGTTGGCTACATTTTATCTATCAATAATATCAGTTTTGTCTCTTTTCAACTTTTATGTTTTTTATATCTTTTGCTTTTATTGCATTGGCTAGAACCCAATAGCTCTGCATTCTAACCTGTATTTGTAAGGAGGTATCATTGTTTTCTTTAATGGTAAAGCTACTAAGTTTTTAGTATTAAATAAAAATGTTTGCTGTAGGCTTCCAATAAATAACATTTATCAAGTTCAAGAAGAGGCTTTTGACTTTCAGTTTGCTAAGAGTGTTTTTTTGGAGGGGGAGGGAGATCATGAGTGAGTGTGATTTTTATTCTGCACTTTCCAACATCTATTGGCTTTTTTAGAAATTCCTTTGATAATGTCCTGCATTCACTTGAGAGAACAGTGGTAACATTTAACCACCTCTATAAGCCTTAGGGCAGATCTTACTTTTTCATGATACAAAATTCTTTTAACCCAATACACTTGATTTTATTTGACAGTATTTTACTTAGATTTTTACATCCATAATCAAATAAGTAAGATTGGCCTATACTTTTCCATTCTGGTGCTAGCCTTTTTTTTTAACCATGGTTACATTAAATTTCCTGTGTTACTGTTCAAGGGTAGCCTGATGAGGACTTGGTGGACCTTAACAGTTTGGGAACTCACCTGTGTATTCAGTTCTTCAACGTTTATTAGTATAAA